AAAATAGAATTTATATATCACTTAACCTGAAATAAATAGATAATCTATTTTATTCCAAATCAGAAGTCTAGTCATTTACAGTAGTAATGTCATATATACCAAAGAAACTCAGAATTTAAGCAAGTACAGTATATTTTTTCGTCTATTCCATACACTCAAAAATTAGAATTCCTACTACATTCAAATTTACATGAAGTTAAATAATATAATAAGACGAAAAGTAGTAAAAAATTATAAAAGCAATGTAAATAATACTATTAAAGCTATCTTCGAATTCAAATTTTTTCAGTAACATGATTAAAGTCGTTCCTGTGCTTACCCTAATTTTTAAAAGCCAAATTAAACAAAATTTCATATTGTAAAGATGCTTTTTATCTTAACAAATTTGCCATATTATACATCTTTGCGGAGTTGCCTTTTTTTTTTGTTTTCGTATTGTGTTTACTCAACATCTTTGAATAAGATAATCTAATAAAATAAAAACTTAATCTCTAATTATGCAAATATATTCCTCATTCAAAATCTCATTCAAAAAACTCATTCAAAAACTCATTCAAAATCTCATTCAAAAATTTTATTACTTCAAATTCACATGAAATAAAAAAAAATAATGAACTCAATGAAATACTTAATTATAAAAATTTGCAAACCTTATTGTTAGCTTCGATGACCAAAAGTATTTTAAATATCTAATGTACAAATAACCCATTTAATATTCATCCTAGCCCTACTTTCTTTTATCATATGAATCGTAACAGTAGTGAATCACAAATGTTGTACGTGCATATCCGTCAATACAATGCAACTATCTCGCTACATTACCTTATATGCAAGTTTATTGATGTTTTTCATTATTTGTGTAATTAAAAGATTTTCCTGCATCTGTGCTATCAAAGAGAAAAGATCATGCTCGTTTTGCAAAGTACTTAACATTGGCATTTACAATTATCTATTGGATATTACAAATGATTAAAATAGAGTTAAGATAGTAAAATTTTGATAAAAGATAGATTAATATTGTATACGGTAAACTTAGACTGTAGGCTGAATATTTTTATCAAGCTTAAATGTGAAATATTAAATTAGAAATCAGATAACTTCGGCCTATTTATTTGAAAAGCCTTATTGCTTAAATAGGGGTCGTCTAAAGCCATGTAACTACGAGACATTTTTTGTGTAAATCAACCAACCGGAATCGCGAATTTTGTTTACACGGATCAGCCCGAAGAAGTCAAAAAATAAAGAAACAGAAAAATATGAAAAGCGACAGTCTAAACATGTCTTGGGGTATTAACAAAAAATGCCTGGAAGGAAATTTTACATATATACTTAACTCTAAAACTAATACTAAACTGGACCTAACCCTAATTGTAGTTAAAACTTCGAAAAATCACGTGGGTACATGGCTTTAGCCATCCCTTAAAATAGAAATTCAAATTTACCGGATCAATATGAGGAAATTCCGGATCATTAATTCAAAACTTTGCGCCTACTTAATATTCTATAACCATTTACTATTATGGTAGAATCTTTCTTTAAAATATAGATACCAAGAACATAAACACTAATTAATATAGTGTATAGCTTTAGTGTAACTCGGCCTTTAAGTTGAAGCTCCACAAAAAACACTTATACGTACGTACGTACGTACCTATTTTCTTTCTTGCTTTTCCACCAACTATACTACTTTTATTCTCTGTGATACACGTATTAATATTATTAAGGACATTTTATGTTTAGAAAGCATTAATTATAGATATATTACTTAAGTTTATAAGAGTATTATGAAACTTTAGGGCTGAATTTCGTCTTATACGTGTTAACACAAAATACCGAAATTTGTATTATAAACAAATAGAAATCAAATCTCTATTCATTATAGGCAATAAATATCAGTAAACAATTTTCATGCCTAAAATTCTAGAAATTCTAGTATCTTAATGGTCCTTTATAAAAAAAGAATATGAATAGTCACTGTATAGATAAGTATAGATGTTAATTTAGTAGTAAACAACATCACGTGTTCCACAAATATTTGTTATAAATAAACTAGAAAACGTTCGTGTGATGTAAATATATTAACTAGTGAAATGGAAAATGCAGCTCGGATTGATGTAATAGCTGATCGTAGGCAACGGGCTATAGTTAGCACAGAGCCTAATCAAAATCATTCTCAACGCTTTATATCTATTTGCAACAAAGTTATAAATGATTGGTGCTTAACGAAACAAGAAAAAAAACATCTTGTAGATGATTTAATTATAACAAGAGATTCACAAAATGTAATTGAAAATATTGGTGACAAAAAGACATGTAAATGGTGTAATAAACAAGCTATCGCAATTACTTATTGCGAATGTTGTATTCGCAATTATTTAGAAAAATACTTTAACGAATGGACTACTGGAAATGATGAACTTGATGAATTTATCCGTAAATGTCAACTTAATGCTGTATCTCCGTCACACATAATCGAATGGATTCCTTTTGAAAATCTTACAAATATTGAAGAAAAAACCAGAGGTGGTAATTCTATAATATATACTGCAACCTGGGAAAATGGGCCATTTACAAAATGGGATGATAAACAACAAGAATTAAAGAGAGGTGGAGAAATTATTTGTATTCTTAAGACCTTAAAAGATTTAGAAAAGTCGGCTGATGAGGTAAATTTCAAATATAATTAGTAAAATAACTAACTTAATGACTTTATTAAGCGCTTTGTTTCTTTTAGATTGAAGCAAGTTTTACTATTGAACCATATTCACAGTCTCTTGTAAAATGTTATGGATTAACCAAAGACCCAGAGACTCAAACTTTTATGCTCGTCCTTCATAAAATGGATAGCGATTTACGTCAGTTTCTCGAAGAAAATACTGATTTACCTTGGAAAATTAAATTTAAAATGGTTCGAAATATTTCCAATAGTATTAGGAAATTGCATAATAAAAAGAAAATACATAAAGACTTATACCCAAAAAATATCTTAATTAATAAAGATAAGCTTCACTGCGTACTTTGTGATTTTGGACTTTGTAGTTCATTAATTCAAGATTATGGAAATTGTCCTTATGTTGCACCTGAAGTATTGAAGAACAAATCCTATACAAAAAAATCCGACATATATAGTTTAGGAATGATTATGTGGGAAATCTCTGCAGGCAAGCCACCATTTTATAATGATACTCAAAATTCCTTGGAGTTGAATAAAGGACTCGTTTTAGAGGTACTTAGTGGAAAGAGACCGGATATTATTGATGGAACCCCACCCGAATATGCGAATCTTATGATCAAATGTTGGGACGAGGATCCTGAAAATAGGCCTGATGCTAAAATAATTAATGATAAAATGGAGGATTTACTTAAAGATATTTATCAAAGTGAAGACATCCCTTATGAATTAAAATTTATTCCAATTATTCCTGAAGAATCTAGAATATGGAAAATTTTAAAAAGTGGAATAAGGAAGATCATTAAAATGTGCAAAGTTTTGAAAGAAATTATAGATAAAATTAATATGAAGAAAAATAATTTTCAAACAAGAGGCATTAATATAAGTAACTATCAATCGTTTCCCTTGAAACAGGATGAACAAAGCGTTTCTGATAATGTATCTTCAATTTTTGAACATGATCAAAAGTATCTCTTGGACAGAATTTCTGATTATGCATCTATAATTTCTGAACCTGAAAAAGAAATTCCAAATTGTATTCCTGAAGATGAAGCAAATTTAGTTAATGATATTATTAACATAAATTAGAAAACCCTATTTTAACTTGTTCACGTTACCATACGATCTTTGATTTCTTAAACCTACTCCGATATCGGAGCAATTTTGAGAACTCAGAAATCACCTAACAATTGTGCAATTTCTTTTTTTTTTTTTTTGAAATCGATTTATCGTAAATGGTTTTTAAATTAGAATTTAAATTTAAAAAAATTCAAAAAAATTATATTATATTATTATTTTTTATATTATGCTATACGTACGTATCTTATTTATATTTTGTATATTATTTTATTTACTTGTTATTTTATAATAAATAAATACATTATTTTTTTATAAATAAATACTATTATGAATAATGTACTTATTGCCACGGAAATTATGTGATTAGTGTGATTAAACAAAATCACACTAAATTTGCTTCACTTATATTACGTTAGTATCATGTGCACTCATTTTAAATTTTTAGTATCGTAATATTTTAAAATGTATATGATATACTAGTATATTAATTTTATATAGTATGCTAAAACACCATAAATAAATTCGTCTTCAAAATTAGAAAGAGAATTTGCTATTTTTAATAGTTCAAAAGAACAACAACGAGTACTTAATTTAAAAGTAACAATTAAGGTAATATCGTTAACTATAAATTATTTTTAGATTAAGTATTCTGATACGCTTACAAAATTTTTATTAAACGAAGTGTTTTTTAATAATAAATAAATAAATTTTTGTCTAGTTGAACGCAATATTTAATAAAAAAAAGTGTTTATTAACAATAAATAATTAGAAACAGATAAGTTTTTTCTTAGTTGAGCGCAGTATTTAAAAAATTGCAAGTTTTTTTTTACGAGATAAAATTGCTTAGTAAACATTATTAAATCGCACTTTTAATTTTTAATCATCAGCAAATCGAATACTTCATATATACCGCACGCCTAATTTACAAATTCTTATCGCATAAATTCCGTGTCCCTGCTTGTTGCTCATAGAAAGGCTTCATATGATTGACTATTTAAATCAATTTATTTTACATTTTTATATAGTTTAAAGTACTTTTTTTTTTAAAAAAACAAATCTACTAAGAATAAATAAAAAAAATGTATATAGAAAGTTTCATTAGAATTGTAGAACTTTACAATTGAAAATAATCAAGATCACCTTTTATTTTAGAGAAGTTAACATGATGATAACCTATTTTCTAGAAGTCGTTATTATGCTAACTTCTCTAAACCAAAAAGAGATTTTGATTATTTTAATAGTGGAGTCTACGACCTAATAAAACTTTCTATATACTTTTTTTTTGTAGTTCGATTTTTTTTTAAAAAGTGCTTTAAACTGTATAAATATAAAATTAAATTGATTTAAACGGCAAATCATATAAAAGTCTCAATGAACCTGACCTATCACGTATACAGTAATTACAATTATCAACAAATCATAACAAAAATAATATGTAAATCTTAATATGTAAATCTTAATACGTAAAAAAAAAGGCGAATTTACAAATAAGGGCCCGGAAAGTGAAAATAATTACAAATACGGACCCCAATTAAAAATAATTACATATAATGCCTAATTTTTAAAAATATTACATATAAGGGCCAGGTCTATTGATGGCTGAAGAAAGTGATCACTGGATTATTGCGCCACAAAGTACTATGACCATTTATCTTATAACTATTGCAAAATCGCGATTATAGGATTATCGATGTTTTATTATAGGTATTGATAATTATCTATATACCGATTATTAGATAAGGCCAGACCTACCCTCTTCTGACTTCCCCTCTCACTATATGTGCGGAAAATTTCGGAAACCTTTTTTTATATTGCGGATCATTTCGGAAAAATTATTTCCTCCAGCCCGTCCCCCCTTTTGTGAGAAGGATGTAACGTAAACCACCGAATTAAATTGGTCTGGCCTAAAAGGATAAATGAAGCCCTGGTTATAATCATTTTTGCTTAAATATTGTATAAAAAATTAGCATAATTAATTATAAGGCGAATAAGTTTCAGCAGAATAGCTCACTAGAACTGAACGAACATCTTCCATATTAGTAAATGTCATACCAATTCGCAGTGCTTTGCTTGGCATCATAGTAGTTTGTTACTGTATAACATTAAACAACTTTATACAAAGAAATAAATTTATTAAATTTAAAAAATTTCTCATCTATAATTGCTAATTTACAATCGACGTTACATTTTTTAGACGTTTAATAAGTATAGAATATTGATCATGCATCGATTATATCGCAAAATTTGTCCAATCGGGCAAATGATTGGCTGACAGTGTCGCGCAGCGGAACATGCCACCCAATCAATTACACAATTGGACAAATTTTACGATATTTATCAGCGCATGACTCAATATTTGTGTTATCCGGTAATTCATGATCATGATTCTTAAGTCGTGATTTGCTAACTAAGTTTTAATTCGAATAAACATGATTACGACATAACACACCAAAAAATAACAAAAGAAAATCATAAAAGTTTGCCATTTATCGATGCTTACATTTCTTATGCTAATAACGATCAAGCCACAGGTTTGAATAACATCGCAGTTATTTTGGGCCCTTACATGTAATATTTTTTAAAAATTAGGCCCTTATATGTAATTATTTTTAATTTGGACCCGTATTTTCACTTTCCGAACCACTATTTGTAAATTCCCCAATAAAAAATGTTACAATTAATATAGAGGTGTCACCGGCGCCTCCTCTTCTCTTGTAATAAATAAAAATAAAATAGAACAGAATAACTATAAAAAAAATATAGTGGAACCGTTGCTGCAGAGCCCGTCACAACGTACGTACGTACCCCTGCATTAACGTTAGTCTTAGTCAAATTAAACAACAATGATTTAAAATCATTTTTTTTTGTATAAATTAAAAATAAAGTTAGACTATTTTTGTAAAAGATTATCTTAAATGCATACTATAAATAATAACGAAAAAACTTATCAGATACTACGTATATATCGTTGACCATGAGTCTAACAGACGTTAAACTCTGTGAATTTGGGTGGAGATATCAAAATGGCATTGGAGTCGAGAAAGACGAGCATAAGGCTTTTGAATACTATAAAAAATCTGCAGACATGGGATTTGCAACTGCAACTTTTCAAGTTGGATATTGTTATGATGAAGGAATTGGAGTTGAAAAGGATGAACATAAGGCATTCATTTATTATCAAAAATC